TGGCCCCTCGGCGTGCTCCGCCGGCGCTGGGAGCGCCGGCGGCGCGCGCGCCGCCCCTCCCCCGTCGTCGTCGTCTTCCGCTCCAGCGGCCCCCGCGCCGCCATGGCCGCCGGCGTACACCACCAACTCGCGTGGGTGCGCCCCTCGGCCACCGCGCGCGTCGTCGCCGCCGAGCCCTCCGCCACCGCTGCCGCTGCCGCCGGGCCCCTCCCCGGCCGCCGCCGGAGCCCCACCCTTAAAAAAATGGAGCTGTTGATGATTTGTTACTCCGCCTGCGGCATCGCAGGATCCTGTAGCCACCGTGTTCCAACCAGGGTCAAGGAAAACGAGCAGTCAACCGCCGCATGGCAGGCGGTCAACGCCACCGGCGCCTGCGAGGCGCGGATGGCCACACCACAACAAAACCCACGCGCAATGAAAGCGCACTAAAAAAATGGAGCGTCGAAAAGCATGTTCGGGGTTCATATAAGGTGTAGTGCGACCGACTGGTTATCTTCCGCTTCTTGGTTTTTGCCCTCGTAGCATAGTGGATAATGCGTCGGACTTCTAATCCGAAGGTCCCGGGTTCGAACCCCGGCGGGGGCGTTGGCTTTTGACGCCGTTCCGCCGCGCCGCTGGTCTTCTTCCACTATTGTAGTGCTTCTTGACTCTGGCAAACCTCTAGTATTCAGAAACGCAGGATCGGATTGAATCGGTGATGGCGGATCATCATGGTGTTGATTGTGATCCGTGGGAGGCAATAGCCTGCGGCTTCCACCCATCCCACTACCACTACAACATCCAATGAGCCAAAATGCTGGAAGAAATCGGGCGTGGCGCGTGTGTGGTCGACGAAACGAGGGCATGGGAGATGGCAGTGGTATACATAAAATGCTACCAATGGGATTCGAACCCATGCCCCTTGCGGGATTGGAACTTGAAACCAACGCCTTCGACCGACTCGGCCATGGTAGCCACCATGAAGTTCCGGAAGATAACCAGGCGCACTCACCGCCACGGTGAGAACACACAACAGGGTTTAGCACGGCGGCAAGCCGGTCAACGGCGGCTCGGCTGGAGGACGGCTGGAGGCGGGGAGTGGAGCTGCGGCGTGCGGCGGCGAGGCGGCGGCGTGGCGTGGCATCATGGCGGCGGGCGGCGCGGCGGCGGCGCATGCGGAGAGCGCGGCTGCAGTCTGCGGACGGCCGCGGTTGGCTTCCCGGTGGCGTTGATTGCCCCGGCTTGCTTGCTTGCATGCGCGTGTTTGATTGTCTGCCTGTGTCTGCGTGTGGGGCGCGCCTGGTTTCCGGGCTGGGCCCCGCGGGCGCACGCAGTTTGCGGTGCTGCGCTATTCCCCACCTCCGCTGAGCGCGACACCCCGCGCCGCCCTGTGAGCCGTGTTTGCGCCCCCTTTCTTGCTGCCCCATGTCGTGGCGATCCCCCTCACCTTAAGCGTGTCCCCACTGGCCCCGCCCGCGCGCCGCCGCAATGCGGCCCGCGGACGGCGCGCCCACCTTTCCTCGGCTGCTGCGGCGCCCGCAGGGGCGCCGCAGGCCTCGTCACTTTGCGCGCGCGTTTCGGCTTTTTTGCGGTGTGCTCCGGGTGCCTCCTTGGGGTGCCGCCCTGGCCCGGGGGCCAGGGCTGCTCCCTGCGGGTGCACTCGGCAGCTGCACAGTTTTGCCGCTGCCACTGGCGCGGGGCGGCGCTGTGTTCACTTCCCGGCCCCTGCGGCATGGGCCT